ACTGATCATGAAAAAGTTAATACACATGAAATAACTCTGAACTAACTAAAAATGATGAGGTTATATGAGAATAAATTTTCCTTAGCAACGGCTCGAAAACATCGGTTAATGAGCCCTTAAGCAACGACGACATCGGTGACGCCGAGGGCGACGCTTAGTCAAAAATAAATTTGTATTTTACCAGCGAATTTCGACTGTTTCTAACTGTTCTGTACGCCAATGGCTCTAGAAACGTGCTCAGGCTAAATATGCAATGACAGCGTTCAGTTCCAAATGGAATTTTGAAAAATTAGCCTTCGTCGTTCGCGTTCCTCAGATTACGCAGAACTTGATCATTTCACGTCCTTGTTTTGCAGAGGACGGCAAAGAAATGTACAAAGATTTATAACGCATGTGCACAGCTTTGTATTGTTTTGCTCGTTAAACCTTTTGTTTGGTGACGTTCTCGTTACCGTCGTCGTCGTGGTTTGTTTAAGCTCCCTATTAATATAGAAAGGAAAGCTTGCCTTGCCAACGGCGTTTGACAAGTTCTCACATTCACCGTATTTACGAGATAAAGCACCGCCCCCGATTAAACGCCGCATCGCATGAGAGTAGAAATATTAAAAAGCGCCGCATTCTTTCACAACAATGCGGCGCTTAATGAAAGCATCATCAGACTGACTTGTTTGAGGAGTCAATCACAAACAAGTGCGGTACAATTCAATATAAACCAGCCTCGGAAATGCATTCTCTTGTGGCAGGAGTACAATGCATATTTTCAGTGAGTGGTGTCTGTTTCGCACCCACATAGTTCGCACCCCTGAACTCATTATAAACTGTTTATTTAGAGTTCGCCTTCACCATGAGTGGATTAAAGAACGAGAAATAAACATGTTTTGTTTGATTTTGTTTTATTATGCTCACAATGTTGTATTTTTTGCTCGGTAAGAGAAAGATAATTTGAAGAACTTGATTGCTAGTTGGGTGGGTGTCGTGCCTAACCCTCGTTCCCAGGCTCCTCTCCCCACTCTTCCATCCTCCTTCAAGAAAAACGAAAGTACCCTGGGACCTGGCTGAAGTCCACATATATGGCGCTCGCGGCTGGTTCTGGGTAACAACAACAAATGGCTGACAGAAGGAATTTTGTAGGTGCGAGATTACGGGTTACAACAAGCGAAGGGGAATACGAGGGAACGGTCCACAGCATAGATGCAGAAAAGAGAAAGCTTACGTTGACTAAAGGTGAGAATTCGTGACATTTTCTAACGCAACGATACTACAGTAACACGAGCTTCCAGAAGGGAAACGAAATGTACCATCAGTGATGACACACATGGTGATTTAGTAAACAATCGCCCGGTGGTTTTTGGTGGCCAGCTTTGTATTAGTTAGGTGATCTGTCTTCTGTATCAGGTTATTGAGTCTGAAATTCTAGACATAACGCTAGTTTGTATACGTTTTGGGAGAACTAAGAATGATAACCTTGAAGTCTTTCAATTTGAACTTCGACGGAGGCACGTCATGCGAAACAATAGAAGATTACAAAGTGACATCTGTCCTATTGTTAGCTATCTGCGTTGATTTCTTAACCGCTTACGGTATAATGAAGGCCATACTTTATAGAAATAAACCGGCTATAAATGATTATAATTTAACTCTAATTTTATAAGCTTCCTTACAACTGACAACCTGATGAAGAACAGCAAAACTATTTGAAACGTCGCCTTTAAAAGACATTTTTTTTTGGCCTCAAAAAAAGTCACGTTGAGATGCAAAAGTTTTAATGTTATTGATTTATATAGTCATAAGAATCTTCTGTAGCCTTGTTATTCATTGTACTCTTTGTTTTGTGCCTTAGTGATCTCTTGCAGTACTGGTAGAAAGCTTCATGGTTTTCATCACTTTTTTGGTCATGAGCTGAATACCTGTAAGTGTTTAGAGAATAATAAAGTAGGTTCCTTTCCTGTTTACCAGTACCTTGGCAGGGCTGTTATTGGGTCTGGAGTCACCTGTTGCCTTTGTCTTCACACAAACTTTTTGCTTTATGGTTGAGTTTTATCAACAGCAGGCAAGTTCACCTGTAACATCAAGGTCTCATCTAGGATACTCACCCGCAATTGTTGTTACAGTTTTTGTCCTGTAATGACAGCCCTGCCTCGGGAAGAGGTGGGAAGGTACTCCCAGAAAAATTGGATGGTTATGTGACATGAGCTTTTTGAAACCTTTAGACTATTTCACACCAAAATTTGTGATTTTCCCTACCCCATTTTAGACCCAAGCTAAAATTCAAAACCTTATCTCAGATCTGAAAGACCAGGAGACTTGTGCATTACTAGAGTATGTGATAAGCCATTGTGGCACATACACAGCTGGGGTAAACATAATTTGACAAGGGATCTAAGTTTTCTCTAAGTTGTAGCTTTGTCTAAAAATATAGTTACTCAATTGAAGACCAGAATGCATAAATTTTCCCCTATTTCAGACCAAAATGACTCAAACACCATACCTTTAGGTACTGCAGATACAATTATGACCTTTCAGGGCTGTCATTAAGGGTCGAACTGGTAACACCTGTTATGGCCAAGTACAGTTGATTTTCCCTTGATGCTACAAGTGAAATTGTCTGTTGTTGATAGAATTCACCCATAAAGTAACAAGTTTGCTATGAGTGTGGAGAACAAGGCTACTGGTGGTGACTCAAAACTTGATGAGAGCCCTACCTCTAGAGGCACTCCCCCCTCCCCCAAGGGACCAGTCCATAAGTCAGTGCATGCCAGCTATAACATTACTCTCTTTTACTGTCAAGCAAAGTAACATGTTTATTACCAAACCGCTTGTACAGTACTACAGGTCCTAAATCTAGAAGTACCCAGTTAGTCCATGGAACCTCTCGATGATCCAGCCATCAAAATCAGGTTGTTATAAATTTCGGAAAATGTAAGGCTGAACTTATGGTTGGGCCCAAATATAACTTTGGGAATGGAGCAACTTAAAGAAATCTCATCAATACAGAATTGTCAAATGTGTTTATTAAAACGATGTAAATGCTGTGTTATACAACACGCGTTAAGTGAATACACTGAATATGTGCAACTACCTACTGTAATGATGTATGGTAGAACAGTTTACATTCTTACTGCCTCTATCACAGTGTCACATGTTTTATTCTATAACATTCTTGTTATTTCATAGTGGAATTACTGGAAGAGGCCAATAACAATATTTCACAAGATGAACAGACAGAGTAAGTCCATATGTCTAGTTGTTTAATGGGTTAGTGTTGAGACCTAATAAAAAAAATTTAATTAAGCAAAGATGACTGCATGTAAATCTTAAGATTCAATTATATATATAATACAGTGGAACCCTGTCTTACAGTCACCTCATTAATACAGTCCCCTCGTTATTATGCTCACCTTTTTTTGACCCGGCAAAACACCCATGGTTACATTTTCTTATAAGAAAACCCTGTTAATGCGGCCACCCCATTAATACAACCTATGGCCACATTCTGAAATCCCAACCTGTATAATCCTTTGCAATTTTACCCCATTTATATGGCCATTCAAACCAGTTATGTTCATCTTTCCATTGTTAATATTGTATAGTACATGTACTGATTGAAATTTCAATTTTTTAAAATAAACTTTATTACGTCTACATTCCATTGCTTAGAAGTGCAATTGTGATATATCTGCTAAGACTTCACTCAATTTACACCAGTCATGAAATTTGGTCCAAACCCCTTAATATGGCCACCTCTTTATACACTCAGACAAATTTTCATGGCCGTTGGTGAGCGTGTTAATGGGGTTCTACTGTTTATGACTTCCATGTTTCAACTCAGAAACTTTAGAAGTGTCACAAGTTCTCTATGGTGTGTTGTTCAAATGTTATACGTATGGGAAACCAAAATTAATGGTGATGAGTGACAATATTGACAAAATTCGGGTGAAATTATTTCTAACTTCACAAGTATACCATTTGATTACCTTTTAATATCACACACCTGTAGGTGAGATATTAAAAGGTAAGCAGGGGTATGGGAGCAGGGGTGGCACAGTGGTGAGAGTGCTCGCCTCCCACCAATGTGACCGGGGTTCAAATCCTGGACCCAGTGTCATAAGTGGGTTGAGTTTGTTGTTGGTTCTCATCCTTGCTCTGAGGGTTTTTCTCCGGGTTCTCCGGTTTTCCTCCCTCCAAAAAAATAAACATTTCTAAATTCCAATTCGATCGGGAATTTGAGGGCCACGGGTTTGTCAGTCTTAAGACTGTTGTGTGCTACCCTCATTAAACAAAGTTAATTTGTTCGTTTGTGTTTGTTGTTTAGGTGACAAATTATGCTCACGATATATTGTAGGGTTTTGACTTGTTTACTGTATCGAGAAATTTCTTGCCAAACGTTACTATGGCAATTTTGTAATTTCGCATGTAAAATTATAAACTAGCACTGAAATTTCCTGACAAAATTAAGGAGTAATTTGTCTCCTGTGATATTAGAAGATTAACACCAAGCTTATTTTGGTATCTTGCAGGTAATACAAACATGTGTCAAACATTCCTCTTAATTCACATTTTACTTGTTTTTAATTATAGAAACAAAAATATTAATCATGATACTAAAGAAGATGAAAGAATACACAAGGAAAGTCCTGACACTTCGCAGCCTAATCACTCAGTGCCAAGGTCATCCAAACCAGATACAGGATATGGAGGAAGAGGGATAGCCAAGGCATTTAAAGATGCTGGAATAGGGATAAATTCAAAGTTGGGTGTCAAGAAGACAGCTGTTTCCAGTGGATCTCTTTCAAGAGATGTGAGTGACGATGGTGACAGTCTGCTGAAGAGGCAACCTATCATAGCAGAGAAATGTATGCAACTTTTTTCATTTTTCATTTCCTTACCTACCCGTGTTACATCTGTATGTCTGTTTTTCAAAAATGTGTTTTTAGGTGGAGTCTATGCTGGAGATTTTTAAAAAGTGAACTCATTTCTTTCGACATTTTGTACATAACATGTAAAGTCTGACTTACTATAACTGAATGTAGCCCACCAGGCTAGCATTGAATTGTGCTTATTGCTACCCACCTGGAAGTGTGCCAATCTTTTAGTTTGGTATGGCCAGGTGCTGGGAGGTTTTACAAGAAGAAAGTGTCCTGCTCAAGAACACAACACAGTCCATAGACAGAAATGCCAACCTGTGCTCAAAGCCCAGGCTGTTTGATCCAGAATCAGACACACATTCATGTCCCTCCCTTTTGTTTACAAATAACAAAACCTAACATTATTGTGCTTTTTCTTTTCCTAGATCTTTCTGATGTGCATTCAGATGATGATGAAAAGGAAAATATTAGTCCAGATGATCTACCTGCCATTGTACCCATCGATACTTTTGGAGAGTCATTTGAGGAAGCAGTAAGTATATATCATACAGTCAAACCTCCTACAAGTGACCACCCAAAATGTCAAGCCTGGGTGGTCGCTTACGGGAGTTGGTCGCTTATGAGAGCTGAGACCATATTGGGTCAAAATTTTGCCTTGTTGGCATATGGTAACTGCAAAGAGTTACCCCGTGTTTTAAGTCTTTTATTCATGTTAAAAGTAAATTTTGAGAAAAAATCCGGTACTTCCCATTGAGAAAATTTTGTCTCTTGTTCTACCTGGAAATGGAGGTTCTTGAAACTGTATAATTATTTGATATCATTTTACTTTGTTTTTATTTTGGGTATGTTGCACATACAGTGTATTGTTATTGATGACACAAAGGCCAGGGGATAAAGAAGAGCTCATTACAATAATATTATAGTCAATGGCCCTATACTTTATTTTGCAAAAACTAGGCCTTTTTCTGTTACTTAGTTTTAATAGCACTTCCCTTGTCATGTGTTGGGCAATTCTTGTCAATGAATGTCACTTGATGTTTTGTTAAAATAATGTGTATAGTTTGTTAACGGCAAGTGTTTTTACCCAACATACATACAATATTATTATCAGTAATTGCTAACATTGCAACATTGATAATACAGATTAAGCAATTACAACGGCGCCACCAGGGATGACGCGTAGTAAAAAATAGATTTTTTATTCCTTTGCATTTCTTAACTATTTGAATGTGCTCAGTATGCCAATGGATCTCTTGCTCAAACTAAATAATTATGTAATGCCAGTGTTACAGTGTTACAGTGTTACAGTGTTACAGTGTTACAGTGTTACATTGTAAATTCCAAAAAGAAATTCGAAAAATTTGCTATTGTGGCTACATTCCAGAATACACAGAACTTGGTTATTTCACAGTTGTTGTTTTGCAGGGGGCTGCTACAAAATGTACAAAGATTTAAAATGCATGTGCATAGCCATTGTTCTGCTCATTAAACCTTTTGTTTGGTGATGTGTCTGTTGCCATTGTGGTTTGCTTAAGCTCCCTATTGACTCCTTCCCTCTTAACAGGTGAAATTCATCAGCAGACAGAGAGTTATAGGCGTTTGCTGTGAGGGTGTTAACCTTGGTAGACTTGGGAAACTTTGTTGGCTAGTAGTAAGTACTATAGTAATCCTTCTGTTCTTATTGGTCATGGTTTGCTTGTATTTTATTTGGTGCACTGCACATGACGGCCTATAATCATGAGTGAAAGTAGCTGATGGCTCACGGGATAACATATGGGTTATTGACCAAGTGTCAAGATGGCTGGGTATTGGCCAAGTTCTTTTTTTGCGTGTTTATGGGCTGAGATGGAGTTGAGATCCATGACCAAATGTTCAAGCTTGATCGATACAGGCTTTATTATATGGAAAAACCAAACACTATCTTTTTTGGGACACAGCAGGTAGTCCTAAGCCAACAAGATAGCTTGCCTGCTTGGGTAGCCAACCACAGAACAGGATTCGGTTCATGTTGCTTGCACATGCAGCTAGCCATATAATAATAGACTGTAAGACATTGTAAAGGTAATGGAATATCAAATATGTTTTGCTAACAATTGATCTGTCTATAGATTTTTTCAATAAAATAGTTTTTTTTTCTGTCCAAGTTTAATCCATACTCTATCATCAGTGTTTTTTTAGGACCTACCAAATTTCTTGGGTATTATCTACCCCAACAGGCATACCATCTGGTACCCTTCTTCCATGGGTAGACCATACCAAAAGCTGAACACAAACATGATCTCACCCGAGCACTTGAGCAGAAAAAGTCCTGTGTCTCACAATTTTGATCTTGGCAATATATATATATTTTTCCATTTATTCCAATTTCTCTTTTCAGATTGGTTGTAGTAAGGTTATTTACTTGTTCGATGTTCTCACTCTTGGAGCTCCTTGTTTTGATGAAGGATTACAAGACATTCTTGAGAGTGGTGATATATTGAAGGTACTTGTATAACAAACTAGTAGGCTTAGCTTAGCTGGCAAACACAGCTGCACTTCTGCCTCATGAAAAAAGTGGCAGGATTCTGTCTGCAACTACAGATCAGGTTAAACTCGAATTTAACTCAATTATCTTTTTGACAGATATTCCATGACTGCAGACAAGCCAGCGATGCCTTGTATCATCAGTATCACATCCGACTTATGAACGTGTTTGATACTCAGGTGTGTGTGTTGCTTTTGTTGTTGTTCATTTATTTATTGTATACTTAAAATGAAAATAAACAAAACTAGGGTACCATAAATTCCTTTCAACTTTCACATTTTTTCTTTCAACCTTTCCTGATCAACATAAGGCAACCACACCTCCTAATGTAAAATAATATCTGAAACGTTTCTTTTTCCTTATCATCCTGTCCCTTGGCAGTGCTGCAATAATAGATATTTATGGTAAAGAGAGTTGAGAGGTTGATGCCCTTGGCAATTACATGTTTGATTGAATTTCACAGGTAGCAGATGTTATTATTTACAAGAATGAAACTGGAGGAGAGTTGCCCAGGTTTGTGTAAGCTTTAATTACTTCTTTGTTGAAGAAAATGAGTGAGTCTTTTCTTGTGGTAGCAATTGTTTGTTTCTGCAATATTCAGGTTTCTTGCTTCGCACTCAGTCACAAAACACAAGGTCTATGAGCCCATCAAAAGATCACTTTGCTTCAGTGGCATGAATTATATGACGTGATTGGATCAGATGCTAGTCTATAGGGGTTGTGTGTACTAAAGGCATCCGCAGTTGAATGTTGATAGATTTTCTCAATCGATGCCCTAGATCAACTCTCAATCAATATCCGATCGACACTCTATCGACACCTTGTTTTACACTTGATCAACACGCGATTGACATCTCGGTCAACAGTCGGTTGAGAGTCGACTAGTTTTTTATTGATGCATGTGTTGATCATATATCAATTGAGATGCCGAATAAGTGTCCATTGGGTGTCAACCGAGTATCTATTGGGATGTCGATTGAGATGACGATCCTGGGTTAAACGAGGGGTAGCAATCAGCACTCAACCACGGATGCCTTTACCACAAATGATTGATCTACTGCAGGGTCCCTGCCAACATTTGCCAGGTTTCACAACACAAAGACCCCCTTCCTCTTAATCTGTGTTCAGTGCACATTGATCATTTCATTAGGCCACCTCTCAAACATCAATCATTGAGCATGCATGTAAAATTGAAATTACAATGTTTTTTTTAGATCGTTTTTAACAGTTCTTTTTATACTTTCTCTAGATATGTCAATGGTTTAGTAGCTTGCTTGTATGAATACCTGAATTTGTCACCAGAGAATGTTAATTTCCAGAAAGTGCGTCAGAAATATATGCAGGTATTTTGGGCTTTGTTTAATATTAGAAGCTGAAGTAAACTGATGAAAAATTATATTATCATTGGGGAAGGGGATGAGAGATTTAGCACATGAAAGACCATTGCAGTTGATTCACATTATGTTATGTTTTACATGATGTTTGAAAGGTATGATTGTGACCAGGCAGTAAAGGGGGGGGGGG